ATTGTCTGTCTGATTTGAATTGTAGTTCTGCTCTGAGTTTTCACTGGACTGGTTTTCATATATCCAACTGATTTCTTCTCAAGTAATTCATCCAACAGTAGTATCATCTATCCCCTTTAGAACTCCTCGTCCTCCCCCACACCTGCCACGTCCAAATCAAAGGCACCTAATGAATCTATTTCAATCTGTTTCATCTCATTGGTCCAAGGAAAAGGCCAGTGGTTGATGTATTTGAAAGAGGCCCCTCAAAAATCTCCATATGCTGAGTTCCATGGTTGTCCGAAACACCTTCAAAACACCTTTCCCCCAGCGGAATACTCCTAAGCCTCCTTCAAATAATCCCCAGTTTACCAAAAAAGGTTTTAGCCATACTCCTGTTTGAATCATTACCCAAAAAACCCATGTCTTCAATCTCCACCTGGTTAGTGCTTTCTCTTCTGTCCCCTATCCTTCAAATCAATGGTTCATGTGATCCGGTAGTTCAAATTATTCTGGAATATTTGGTGGTAATTCTATTTCTTGCCCCAAATTTCATTCACATTGATTCTTCTCTTGAAATCACCAAAGGTTCCACTGTTAGATTGTACAGCATTTTTGTGAATCCAGTTGTTTTTCTCCACATCAATTTCAGATTAAGGTCATGATGGACCCCGGTTTCCAGTTATTTCCGCCTTTTTACAATACTTCCAGTTTTGGGTCATGAGGGAACATTGTCTTTTCCATTTCCGACCATTTCTAGATTTCATTTTAAGGTCATGAGGGACCCCAGGTTGGTTGATTTTTCAGTTTAAGGTCCTGAAGGACCCCCTTCAGATTGGCTGATTTTTCAGTTTAAGGTCATGAAGGACCCTGGTTTCCAGTTATTTCCGCATTTTTACAATACTTTCAGTTTAAGGTCATGAGGGACCAACTTGAGATTGTTTGATTTTTCAGTTTAAGGCCATGAAGGACCTGCTTTCAGTTTAAGGTCATGAAGGACCCTTTTTTTTCCAATTATTTTCATTGAATTCAGTTTAAGGTCATGATGGACCCGCTTTCAGTTTAAGGTCATGATGGACCCCGGTTTCCAGTTATTTCAGCAATTTTACAAAAAATTTATCCTTCTGTGTCCAAGATTTCATGATATCCCAGCTTTTCTGGTTTTGTTTCCTCATTCTTCTTCCCATTTCATTCTATAAAGCCAATTTAACACTCTGTCTTCCGGTGAGCCCTGGCGAGTGCTGAACTCTCCAAATCAATTGAGTCTGCACTGCTTGTAGAATTCTTAATTGATTCATGTGCGGTTGATAACCAAATGTAGATCTTGCATTTGGTAGTACAGCTTTT